CGCGGGGGGGGCGGGGGAGGGGGGAAGGGGACTTCCCCTCAGCCCCCTCCTGCTCCCATCAACAAGTGAACAGAGCCCTCAGGGGAGCGGCAGGGAAGAGAACAGGTGGGGGCAGGCGGATTTCCCCCTAGACAGAAAGAAATCCATAAAGCAGAAAGAGTAAGGGGAACCACATTTGGCGAGGCAGTTAATGGCAGACCCTCTGCTCTTGGCGTACAGAAGGGGCTTAATCTGTGTAGGGGGCTAGAATGGCACATCTATGCAGGCAGGTGGCCCAGGGGCCTGAGGGCAGAATGGCTGGTGGAACAGGTCGCATGAAAGAATTGGGAGTCTAGACCCTGAGCAAGAGGCTGGAGTGAGGGGGGCACATGTGAGGAGGTAATCACATCTGGCCAAGACCCCCCACACCTGACGGAAGAAGTCAGAATTGAGAAGGGGAAGCAGTGGGTTGAAGCAGTGAGACGGGGTCTTCACATCTGGCACGAAGCCCACATCTGGAAGACTTTAGGGAGGAGAGGACACATCTGGGCTGAAGGCCACAGCAGGAAGGGGACTTTTGAGGGTGATTGAGACTAGGGGGTGTTCTTGCCCAGGGCCAAAGCCGGAGGAGGAAGCAGAGGGAGGCCTCTGGTCCTCAGCCGCCCAAAATCTTGGGCATTCGGTGCCCGGGCAGGCGCCAACCCGCACAATCGCTTTTGTTGTCTGGACTGGTTCGGGCCTTGCTCTCCGCCCGGCCAGCGTCCCCCCCCTCTTCAGCCGCTGGGGGCCCGGACGCCTGGCTTCCCGGCCCCACCCCCGCGGGTCAGCGCCTCTGGCCAGCGTCTGGCCCTGTCCTGGGCTCACCTCCCGAGGCCGGACGCCGGGGTCCCTGGAGGGGGCTTCGTCCTAGGGGAGCGATGAGGGACTGAGCTACGATGGGGGCGGGTAGGGGGCTGCTGGACCGTGGGAACCAGACGGCTTTATCTGGCCCGGAACCCCCCCCTCCCCGCCCCACGGCGGCGGAGGAAGGGCGGATGTTCTTACCGCGGGCCCGGCCAGTTAGGGCGCGCTGTGATGGGGGCCTCCTTCTCAGCAGTGCCCGGCCCCCGGGCCCGCGGGGCCGCCGTCGCCTCAACAGAGCTCGGGCCTCCTGCAGCCTGGGTGGGAGGGGGCGGAAAAGGAGCTGTCACCGCGATTAAGTTGACCCCCCCCCCACCTCGCTGGAAGGGGCCTCTGAGGCTTGGAGAAGCTGAGTCTTGGCACTGCCCCCGCCCCCAACCCCCATAAGGAGACCAGGCTCTAAGCGTTCTTTCTTCAAACTCTGGGAGAGAAATAGAGACAAAGACACCCACCCACCCATCCCCGAAAAAAAAAAACGCAAAATAGAAACTAGGAGAGGGAGAAGAGACAGACTAAAAGAGATGTTGGAACAGATTAATGAGACAATGACAAAGAGAGAAACAGGTAAGGGAAAGAGAAACCGAAAAAAAAGAGATGGAATGAACAAAACCAGTTAAAAGAAATCATGTCAGAAAAGAAAGCGGGAGGTGGAGACAGAGCAATAATTGAGAAAGGTAGAAATAGAAGAGATAGAAACAGACATATATACAAGATGATTAAGACAGAAAGAATGAGAGAACAGAGGACAAGAGACTCAGGGGGCACAGGCAGATGTGACCAGATGTGGTAGTGCAGCTGGGCACCGGAAGATCTGGTAGCAACCAGGGATCAAACACTCACGTCAGTGGTTGCCAGTTAAGGGACACCTGTTTCTTCCTCACGCTGGGACTGGGGCTCGGTGAAGGAGGTCCAGGGGTCAGGCACCCCTGAGGGTCTATGAAGACATCCAGGGACTAAGGAAGGGAGCGTCCCAACACCCCTCTCGTCTCCAGTTAGGATGAGAGAGGGAGAAAGGACCCCCCAGCCCCTTTACTTCGAATTGGCAGCTCCCTACCCGCCTGAAACAACCCACCTCTGATGTAACGACTCCTCCCGGCAGATCCGACTGGACAGCAGTGACAAGATTCATTGCTATAAATACAGAGGTGGTGTCACACAGATCCCTAGCCCCCCCCCCAGGGCCCCTCAAAAGGGGAGCTTTGCTGGGAGGGAAAGTCTAATAATTGGCCTGAAGGAGGGTGATATAGTTGTGGAACTAACTTGAGACGCTTCTCTCAAGGCCTCAGTTTCTCCTTACACAATGGGAGGTAAATTGGCTTAGGCTCTTCCGGAGCATAGGGCACTAGGAAACCTGCTTTTATTTGTCTTATGGAATGGGTTTAACAGTAAGGTTTTATTGACGATAACTTTTAATTTTAAAGGCTTTAAAGAAAAAAAAATATATTTTTAATGGAAAACTCCAAGAGGACTTCTAGGCGCTTTTCTAAGCCGGGCAGCCTTGAGAATCTAGAACCCCGCCCACCCGTACCTCCTAGTCCTGAACTTAGCTGCCATCCCGCGCATGGCCAGCAGGTGGTGACGCTTCTACGGGCCTCAGCGGCTGGGGAGGAAGGGCTACCCTTCCATTACAGGTCCTGGAGGGTGCTGAGGTGGAGGGGTTGCAGAAGTCACAACTAGGGGCTTGGAAATCCTGAGTGCGTGCCTGCCTTTCCGTGCTGCGTGTTCTGGAGACAACGTCTGATCTCTAGAGTTCATTTGTCCACCCGACCAAAAGGAATCGTTCGTGTAGAAGTCTCCCCGCCAAGAGGGTCTCAGATTCTGGGCGACGGAGCCCCCAGTTTGGACACAAGTGCGTCTCAACCCAGGACCTCCCCCACTCCAGACAAGTCCATTATCCCCAGACTGAGGGGAGCGAGCGACGAAGCCGTGCGCGCAGACCTCGAGAGAAGGACAGTGGGGGGCGTGGGGCGATGCAAAGGGGACGTCGAACACTTAGACTTCTTATAGTGGGGTGGAACCCAGTGGGGGAGGGGACCACTCCGCTTAGAGACTCCGGGACCCCCAAACCTTCCGTCTTTCCTCCCGCCTCCTCTCCGTTTTAACCCCTTCCCGGCCCCGCCCCCTGCGCGGCTCGGGTTACTAAATGCATTCCCAGAGACCTAGGCGGGAGCGAAGCCCCGGGCCTTTGTAACTGAGCGCGGGACCGCGGGGCGGGGAGTGGGGGTGCTGGAGAGTCTGTTTCCTTCGATTTCGTCACCCGCAGGCAGAAGGGGGGGTTATAACCCCCAGATCTATAGGAAATCCGGGAATCTCTCGCCGCACAATCACTGGTACTTCATTCAACCCCGGAGTCTCCTAATTCTAGCAAACTAGACTTCCCAACCATCGTGAAACCTGAGCCACCCACAAACTCCCCACAAACCCCTTTACCACCAACCCAAGAGTCTACTTTTCCCTAACCCATTAGAAAAGTTCAATGATATCTTTTAATTATTCCAGGCGTCGCCAAACCCTAGAACACCAAAACATCTCAACTCTCATAAAGTTCTCCCCACCCCGCACCCCCGCATAAACCTTTCCATAGCTTTCCTCATTAAAGCATCCAAGAAACTTGGGAAACCCCATTCCGGCTCCAGGGCCCCACTCATCTCTGTTATCCGAGGAAAACTCAAAGCCCTATCCCCACATAAACTGGAGGTCCTGTGGGAAAATTCTTCCCTCAAAACTCTCTATAAAATAGGGGTCCTAATACATCCAGGGGTCCTGACCCCATTACCCCACACCAAAGTACTGGGTTCCTATTCCTCTAAAGCTGGACGTTCTCACCCTCCAGGAGGCCCACCAAATTTAATGGGTGGAGGCATAGGAAAAGAGAGAGGACCTCGGCTGGGCTTACCCGGCCGGGCGGCCAGTGACCACCGCGACCTCGACGGCTTGACTGGAGCTGGGACTGGTGGAGGAGGCGTTGGTGGCTGCAAGGAGCAGTGACAGCAAAACCAGCAGGAGGGGGCGACGACCGCTGGGGCCAGGCTGCCGCATGGTGTCCGGCGGCTTGTCCCCCTCCAGGCCCGCTGTCTGTCCAGCAGGTCCCGCTCAATGCCGCCCCGCCCCCCGCCCCCGCCCCAGGCCGACTCACTTTCTCCACTGCTCCAGCCGCGGGCTACGAACTTCCCACCAATCAGAGCCTGGCACCGCCAGAGGTGCTCCTCGCGCACCAATCGGGAGGCGACAGGGGCAGGGCTAGAGGGACAGGTGCTAGGCAGGGGGGAACTGGGCCTAGAGTTTTCTCAGCAGTGTAGGGAAATCTGGAATAGGACTTTACAAGTTCCCTCTCTTGTGAAGCAAACGTCCCAAGAATGGGGGAGCTGGAAGGGATGCAGAAGCAATGGGCAGTGTCCCCCAAGCTAGCTCCCACTTACAGGTCTCACTCCTCCTCCCACAACTGTGGGAGAATTCCATTAGAATTGATTTCCTGGCTGGTGTAGATGCTGGAAGCCCCATGGTGCCCATCTCCCCAAGTGATTCAAGATCTTGGGAACAGACACTAACCCTGAAGTGGGTTCGGAGCTCACCAGCTCCACAAAGCGTGTTCCTCAGAAGGCTGTAGCCCCTGTCCATGAGGACCCAGGCCTTGCCCTTGACTTACAGATTCCATTTCAGGGAACTCTTGGCTCTGCGCCCTTCCTCTGAAAGTTCCTTTTCACGGGTATAGCCTTTACAGATTAACCCGTTGCCACCAAGTTCTCTAGGACCCATAGATGATCTCGTATGTGTCAGAGTAGAACTATTCATAGAGTTTCAATAACTGAGTTTCTTTTGAGAAATCAATCACCAGGCCTTTCTTCTGCAGCACCTCTAGATGGACTTGAACCTTCAGACCCCTTTCTCT